TGGATCTGATAACACCATTTTTCGAAGAAGTTATTAGCAACCCCCACTGGACCACCGGAATATAGAATAACAAACTGTGTGAGTCTGAGGAATGTGAAAGTTAAACATCAGGCATTGGTCTCTTCTGTTACAAGGCAGCTCCTCACCTGATAAAAGAGCTCTCCGGTTTTAGATTGAGCCAGTGAGGAGGGAAAGACTCTGAGATGGAGGAAATTTGCCAGAAATCTCTTGTTCCCACCACAGAGACATGAAACAAACTAAAATAACTACAGTGTAGTCAAGGACAGTCTAGAAGAAGGGGGAATATATTTAGATTGTGACCATTTCTCATATGAGTGATTGAAAGTTTGTGGCAAAGCCCAGGGTCATCATGTATGTTTTTCTTTCTTTCTTTTTTTAGGGTGCACCAGTCGCTGTCCTAGATTTGTGCTCCAGGCAAGATTAAACATAACCAAAGAGTACAAAACAATAGTGTGGTACATTCGTTTTCATTTAATGTGCAACAGGACCCGGGTTTATAATATATATGACATATTATATCAATGTAATACAATTTTGTAACATGTTATATTGCAATATATTAGTACATACTGTATATATAGTGCAGTAATTGTGCAAACTAATCTAGAATGTTATATTATGTGACAACCTTTTGTTTTTCTTAAAAATGAAGCGAAAACAGTTTTAACTTTAGCATTCCATGTACTATATGTGAAAGCAGCGTTAAAATACAAATAGAGAACAATCTGCCCTGTTTTCATCTAACACAGTATCTTCTGCATCACGTAACAGAATCAAATGTAACATTGATTTACTTATATTCCCAGAAAATATGGGTGAATCCTGAACCTTGCAAAATACATTTCAAAGCAGCATATGTGTCAAGCAGCAACTATTTTATTCATTTAATATATGTATAATGCATTTCTAAAATAAATAAAAGTTTTTCTCATATGGTGCTGTGTCACCATTAGTTACTATTAGCTGCAGGACCAACATGGCTCTCACAATGTGAGCCAGTGCCAGGGGGTATAAGGAAGCATTGAAAAGATGAAAGCTTTCGTTTTGTGGTAAGATAGCACACCTATCACACATGAGAAAACAAGTCTTATCAACTAAAATCACACCACCACTGGTACCTTTTTCATGCTCTAATAAATGGTTTTTGCCTCTGGCTAATAGTCTGTTGCAATGCACAGAAAGCAGGTATCTCTGAGCCGACCGGTTCATCTAGTGATATGGAAAAGGACAGCATGCAGTGGCTTGTTGTAACTCAGGATGTTTTGTCTTTGAAACCCCAGAGATGAACAATTTCTCATAGTTTATATATATAACCCATGCATGTGTCGTCTCCACTGCTTGTAAAGATGGCAAATATCAACTGCTGTATGTATTTGGTAATCCTGCAGTAGAATCACTGTAGAATCTGTCAGCCATTCCAGTCCTTCAGTCACACATTCTTGGGGAACATCAACTTGGATCATTACTTAGTGTTCTCAAACACCACTACAGCTTCCAGTAATGAGTAATGAAATAATGTATTCTCCATGATTCCAAACAACAATCAACAGGAATCAAAGAATAATTATTGATTGCTAATTGTCCTGAAAATTTAATTGTGGAGTTAAAAAAAAAAAATGCTATTTACTCACCCTTATGTTGTTTCGAACATGTATGAATTTCCTTTTTTTCTGTTGAACACAAAAGAAGATATTTTGAAGAATATTGATAACCAAACACACTGACTTCCATTGTATTTTTTACCATTTGTGTTCAACAGAAGAAAGAAAGTCATACAGGTTTGGAACCACTGATGACAGAATTTTCATTTTTTTTAGTGAACTATCTCTTTAATAACAATGTAATATTGTTGTAGTATGTTCGTCCTGTTGACAATTGTTGCTGATTGTTTTGTACATTGTAATAGGATATTTTTTTTTCTTACCAGAATGCCATAAGATAATATACAGGCTAAAATGTACAAATTCACACTGCTCATCTGGGTAACTTCCATGTCTATCACACAGCAGACACAATCTCTCTGAGATTTCCAACTGTATTTGTAGCTACTGTTTCACAGTACAAACACAACTGGCACCATCTTGTGTTTCAGTCATCATTTGTAGAGAAAATGCAAAAATATTAATAAATTAATTAATGATAATAAACTCCTTTTTTTACCCTAACATTTATGAATGTTTTTTTTATTTTTTATATATAATTCCCAATGATATTTCCTCCTCCAATATGAAAATGAGGAGATAGTTGGTTTACCCCTGTTGGCTGATCCATTACAAAATGTACAGTTCAACTAAATACCATCTTATAAGACAGAAGTTTTCCTGTGCATTTAAGTATGATTAATCCACACAGTTATCAGTGAATGAGAGCCATTGTAATGCTGGAAACGAAAAGGGCCCTCCAACTCCTCCTCAAATTGTTGCAAAAAAGTTGGAAGCACACATTTCTCTAGACAGAGAGTCACTGTGGCATAGATGAAGATAAGAGTGATCTTCACTGGAATTAAGAGGCCTAGCCAAACACATTTATAAAAAAAAAGGATGACCTCATTCAAATTTAGATTTCAGAGGAAATCCTGCCACATTGCGGAATGGCTCTGTCTCTTTCTCATCTAACAGAAACACATTTCTCTTCAATCCAGTTTTGATGTAGCCTAATTGAGAAGCTGTCAGGAACAGAATCATGTGCTGACACATGTGGAGAATGATTAATTACTGTAGTTTTACAGAAGAGGAAATAACTTACTGTTCCCAAGGAAAAAGACCAAATCAGAGCCTGAAGATAGACATTTTAATTTTATCATGGTGGTTTATGATTTTAAGAAATAGATATATGGAGGTAGTAGTGAGCAATTTTGCATATTTGAAAATTAGTTTGACCACATGTACTGTATATGCTGCACAATAAGGTTAGATTCAGTGTTATTAATGCTTTTGTTAATTTTATAGAATGTTTACAGAATTAACGTTCATTTATAATAGTTTCCTCAGCACATGCATTTGGCACTGAAAGAACAAGACATCTTAGGACATATTTTGTGCTTTTATCATGAGAAATAAGGCAGGCAAGTGGCCAAGTGCCACTAAAAGAACATTGGGGGAAACCTGAAGCTACTCTAATTCCATTACACCTCATTGGAGTAAGTGCAGTCAGTGCTGCAGTTTTTAACTGTGCCTTTGTTTTGGAGAAACCCTTTAGCTTTAGTACAGCTTTTAAATGTTCACTTGCCACATGCTCATTGATAGGACTGACAAACCGTGCCTGGTAATGCAATTCAGTGCTTCAGGGTGACCTGAAATGTCCTCAGAGTTTCAGAAGAGCATGCAAGGCAGCGAAAGCCTTAATAGGCCTTGACAAAAGCCTTCTGTCCTTTACAGAAATGGGGACTGTTGCTGTTTTTAGTTTTCACAACTGACCCATGACGTATGAAAACGTGACAGATTTAAAAGGACCCAAAAGGGAAGACCATTAAAATGTCCACACGGTGGGACATTATTATGTTTGCTTATCTTTGCCTTATAGTTGTGTAAAAGTAATCAGAAAATCATGTACAGTTGCAATGCAGCAAATGTAATGTTCTTCAGTTTATTGTGCAGCTTACATTTGCTATAAATACAACTGTGAAAGATGCAATACTAAATCACTCTTATTGTCATTTTATGTGAACTTTGAAAGCATGCTGTACTTCAGAAAAGCCATATTTTCCTTTCATATTATCAAGCTGGCTTTAGCAGAATAAAGGAAGAAATGCCAAGACAGTTTTAATAGACTATATAAATCACATTCTCCGGCTGGTTTTACATGCTTGGAAGAAATGGAAAAATCTATATAAATTAGTTTGGTTTTCAAATGTCATGTTTTCTTCATGGCTGAAAGTAATGACGTATATACCCAGTATGGTGCACGGCAGAAAACAGAGTAAGAGAAATTGTTTTAAACATTGATGCTTTTATATAACGCTATATTCACATGGTTGTTTCTGTTACACCTCCAGTGCTTTCCCCACTAAGAAAAAAAAATGCCTTGTAGGTTCTATAATTTGTACTGCATGGGCATTTGGACTGTTAGCCTACACAAAGTCAAATATTTACTGTGCTGTCATTGCTTGCTTGAAAAAATATGAAAATAATTAAATTATTGTAATGTAAAAATAAAATAATTAAATCAAAATAAAAAATCAAATCAAATAATAAAATAAAATAAAACAAAAAAGAGTAGGCTATAACTAATACCAGCAGATACAAATTGTCTTTTAATTTGATTCAATTATCATTTTTTTATGGTTAAAGAGAGTGAATAGCTGTTATATGCTTTAATGGAACACAAGTCTCGAGCCCCAAGAAATGTTTTCTATGTTCTGCTGACATCTAGTGTATCTGTTAGGAATTTAATGGACGTTCTTGTGTTTGTCCTTCACAAGCTGCCGTTGTTACGTAATCAAAGGTTAACCAATAGCTTTTAGCAAGCTAACAGCTAACGTCAATCTCACAAAATTCAGGTAATCACAAATACATTTATTACATTTGAATATCGTTACTGATTATCCACAAATAGAGTTCCAGATAATGCGAAACACAGCATACTTTCAGCATTTTTCGACTGATTATTAAATGTAACCTCAACTTTAGTTTAGCCTCTGGGCTAGTGAGACATGCATACATATTAAGAAATGTGTCATTAACTGTTTACTTGTATTCAATCTGTTGTTCCGTGTGTTAGATTCATTTTTAGGCGAATTAATTCGTTTTGTATAGTAGTTATATTTGTTTTTGTGTAACTTAGATTTATTGCTTTATTGTCCCTTTATGACCTTTATGTTTATTTTGGTTAAAAACACGACAGAAGCTGCTTTATTACACCTGACATGTTTCTAACAATCATGTTGTTATTGTTTAGTCCTCAGCAATAAGAGGAAATGTTTCATATGAGGAAATGTTTTTTCGGATGATCTAACAAAACTTGCATTTTCTTTAAAGCGCCTTTACTGGGCTGTTTAGCTCTTCAGTAAACAAAGTTTTGGACATATTTTGCAATCATCCATGTTTTCTTGTGAGGTGCCTAATTAACATCTGCATTTGTTGTGTGTTGTGTGTGTGCGTCGCTATATTAATGCTTTGTTTTTTTCCACCCACAGGTGAACTGTAAACAAGAGAAGCCCAACAGGATGACCAGTGTGAGTGTATTGTAATTGTTTTGTATTATGCAAGGTGGATCTATGTAAACGCAACACAATCTAACATCATATATGAAAAGCTATTCTCATTTACATCTTTTTTGTTTACATTTTTGATGTTTACATCCACTTTATAAGCGGTATGTAAGTGCTTGCTGTGTTTTGTCAGGTGCTCTGCAGCAGAGCTCGGCTGGTGACATACCTGCCAGGGCTTCACGTTCTAGTTCATCGTGTTGTTGGAGCCAGGACTTTCTCCGGGGCGTCCGGCTCAGATGAGACACACCTTCACAGCAGTACCCCTGACACTGGTAAATGAGTGTATTCCTCTGTAGAATACTGAATCAACTGTTAGCGTCCAGTATAATAGTTAATGGCAATACATTTACAAATAGACTTGATTACAGCATATTTTACATACGGGCTAATAACAACATTTGCTCTTGTATTTATAGTTGATTGTGTTTTCACAAGGTGTTTTCTAATGATGTGTGCTTGATATTTCTGTGAATAGCACAAAGGACAGTGTGGCCGGACGAGACCATGGGCCCGTTCGGACCTCAGGATAAACGTTTCCAGTTGCTGGGTAACATGGGTTTTGCCTGTCATTTGGAGGATCCAGTGGAGCAGAGGACTTCACCGATTCATGGCGTGATGCCAGACGTGCTCACTGCTCAGTCCATCAATGAGCTTCATGTATGATGCTTCAGAGTCATTTGAATTGACAGGATAAACAAATAAGTAGTAAAATAATAATTGTATTAATGGTTGTGAAATTATTAATGATCATAATCACTTAACAATGTGAATTTGAAAAACAAAAGACTGTACAATCAAGTTATTTATTTATTTATTTTTGCTATTGCTTGCTCATAAGTGTTATCTCATAATAAATGTAAACTCATACTATTTATATTAAAATGTAAAATATTATGTGATGCAATGGTGTTCTTGTTCCTACACCACCGTTTAAAAGTTTGGGGTCAGTTAGATTTTTTCTTTAGGTTTTTGAGAGTAGTTTCTTTTGCTAATCGAGGCTGAATCAAAAATACAGGAAAAACCGTAATAATGGTGAAATATTATTCAAAATTAAAATAACTTTTTTCTTTTATTTATTCCTGTGATGCAAAGCTGAATTTTCAGCAGCAATTACTCCAGTCTTCAGTCTCACAAGATCCTTCAGAAATCATTCTAATATGCTGATTTGCGGCTCAAGAAACATTTCTTATTATCAATGTTGGAAAAAGTTGTTCTGTTTAATATATGTGACCCTGGAGCACAAAACCAGTCATAAGTAGCACGGGTATATTTGTAGAAATAGACAACAATACATTGTATGGGTCATAATTATCGATTTTTCTTTTATGCCAAAAAT